AATGAAAATAAATAAAAACTCATTGTGAGCATGTTTTTGAAGAAATGCAATCTTATGGTTCAGAATTATAAGTTTTAAAAGATCAGATTTATATCATCAAAAATAACTAAAATTGAAAAGTCAGTAAATATTATTTAAAGTAAATTATTAAAACCTTACATTTTGTTTTGAACACTCTTCATATTGTCTACCGAAATGTTCCATTTTCTCCCGATTGGCACTAAAACTTCTTCGTTCTTGTTCATGCTGATGAATTTGCCTCCTAATATAGAAATTTAAATCAACCATAATACAAAGTAATTTATAGCTTAATTAAATTCAACATACTTCAAATTATTATTTTCTTGAACTAAACTATTTTCTAATGTTTCACGCTGCTGTTGTTCCATAACCATTTGGTCCCTCAGTAACAGAATTTCACATTTAACAGTTTGTTCTTTCTCAGCATATGTTTCTGCTGCTACTTTTGCAGCAATTAATTCTTCATGTGACCTGAGTAGAAGTTCTTGCAACTCCTTAAGTAAAACAGTTTTACAAAAACACGTTTATTAATTTATTTTAATATATAATTAAAAGAAGTTGTACCTCCACTTTATCTGGTAAATTAATCATTTCACTCTGCAGTTTCTGAGAATGTGCATGGTGCTTTCCAAGAAGGTTTTCATTTTCAGCCTTTAATCTATAATTTGATGTTTTTCAAATTTATATCATTGTCAAATTACATGTACATAAATATTAAAAAATATTATATTACACTCACTTCATCATATATAAATGCACTTGTTCTCGCTGCTGGGTTAGACTAGATAATTGCTCCATAATCTGGCTACAAAATTGAGGAAATCGTAACTTTAATTCAGCTAATTCCTTTTCAGTCGCAACAGTTCTGCTACAAAGTTCTTCTACCTAAAATTAGTAAAACGACGTAGTAAAACAAATATTATGGTACTAAAGTAATAGGCAAAAATATATTCAATACCTGTGATTTATACTGATCTTTTTGATGTTCCCATTTCGCTTGCATTTCGCTCCGCAATTGAATCTCTCGTTTTATATTTTCATTTGCTCGTTCAGTGTTTTGTTCAGAAAATGATAATTTATTTTCTAAAGATAATACTGACTGTTGAGCACGTACTAACTGAGCTTCATAATTGCTACACATATCACAGACTAAAAAGTGAGGTAAGTGTTACAAAATCTAATAATATTAATACTTTTTTTTAATTAATAATTTTATTATTATTGGGTATCATATATATATATATATATATAGTGGTAACCCGACTTACAAGTGACCCGACATAAAGAATGTTTCGAGATACGAGCCGCCAAAGGAGCGACTCGTTGTTATGACATATGAGCAAACTTCATGATACAAACTTTAAGCAAGTAAGTAATAACATTAATTAACAAGAAGAAACAATAATTAACTTAATAAATAATAAATTTATTTTCATTGTTATGAAAAACTTAATATCACAAAGCTGGAATGAATTAATGGAATTTCAATGTATTTATGTGGAAAAAATTGCTTTGAGATAAGAGCAATTCGACATACAAGCGTGGGCGGAACGAATTAAACTGGTATGTTAGAATATATAATATATATATATATATATATATATATATATATACAGGGCCGGTCCTGGGTCCTTAGCGCCCCGTGCAACTTTTTCTTCTCTACCCCCCCCCCCCCTATTAATATTAACTGTTTTAACAGTTTATCATTAAAATATATAAATAATTACATATTTTTAATCATTAACTTTTAATTATTCTGGATTTAGTACACAAAAAATTAGATATAATCTAAAAGCGTATAAAATATATTGATTTTAAATTTATTTAGAAATCGAGACGATTCGCGGGTTGATATAATCAAATATTTTTAAAATTTCAATTATTTTAACGTATGTGCAATATTAAATTTGTTTAAAACATTTTACTTATTTTATTATGCGATTTATTCTATTGAGCAAATCATGCCAATCTCACAAAAACTAACTTTTCATTTTCAATCATAACACTCGTATTTCATGTTGGATTTTTGAAATTTTAATTTAATTAATTTTTCATCATTTCTTGAGCTGTATTGAAAAAAAAAACTTATTATATTTGATATGTATTATTTCAGCATAGTTAAACATTAATAAATTTAGAGTATAGACACCGCTAGGTATAAAAAAAGCCTTAAGATTTTCGATCCAAAGTAAATTTTGCTTTCATTTTTCATATTTGTACCATTTCCATAACCCTAACCACGAATGTCTTCAACATTCAAAATGCATCAGAAGCGAAACATTTGCAACAAAAGCAAAAGTTACAATTCAATTTCTCGGAATAAACATGCCATTTTTTAAGTACTGACTCCCCATTTTTCATTTTCTGGATTATAATTTGTTTATATTTTTTAACAAGTTCCGTTTCAACTAAATCAGCTCGCAATTTTTCGTCAATAATGCCCAATAATTAACTTCGCTTAGCTTATGGTATTCGCCCAATAATTATCTTTCGCTTAGCTTATGGTATTGAACACTAGATAATTTCTTTTTCTATTCCACGGTAACTTCAAACAAAGAAAAAATTTAAAAATTGATTAAGTAGATTAAGCAATGAACAGAGCTGTTATTTACTAATTTTCATAGTTATTAATTAGTTAATTGTTTCTACTGATGTGACAACATTGATGTGAATAAATAACAATAACATAAATGTGAATAAATGCTTTTTGTGTCTCCGTATTCCTAATTAAGTTAGATTGTTTATTATTAGTTATTAAATATTCTAGATTTTATATAAATAATTTTAGATTTTATATAAAAATTATAAATATTATATTATAAATTTAATTTCCAAAACTCGTTTTGGCGCCCTCTAAGGCGTGCGCCCGCATTTTTTGCATGCATTGCATGCAAGGCAGGACCGGCCCTGTATATATATATATATATATATATATATATATATATATATATATATATATATATATATATATATAAATGTGTATATATTACCATTATGTGATGAATGTACACTGGAATTTAACAAAGAAGTGTCTTCTAAATTTTCTCCATTTGAAGACAATCTATTACTACTTTTTTCTTGATTGTACATTTGTAATTGTTCATCTGCTGATCTTAATTTTTGTTTTAAAGCTTTAATTTCTTCTTCTAAAGGAACCACTAATGAGCGCAGTACTTCAGCATCTTCTTGAGCCTATATTAATAATTTTGTATTAACCTTGGTAAAACAGGTATTTTAATATACATGAATGCATAATAACATACATGTCTTACGCCTTTTTTTGTTTCATCATTGCTATCTATAGAATCCGCACCAAGTTTTCTTGCTAGTGTTTTGGTCATTGCTGACAAAACGACAGCCGGAGCTAAACTTGCACTTTCCTGCATAATACATAATAATTATTGTAATTGTATGTAATCAGCGTAGAACACATGCATAAACATTGAAAAATATAATATAAATTATTTTAAACCTACTTGTTCTTTTGCTCGAAGTTGTTTGTTCTCAGTTTGTAGTTTTTCAACTACAGCCATTAATCGAGAAATTTCACTATCAAATAATGACCTAGAGCTACTATTTTCTTCAATTGTCTCTATAAAATTTAAATTGTGTCAGCAATATTAATATAACCGTTTTTTATCTAACAAATTCTATGGATATATATTGTTTTTTAGTATAGTTCTATCACTGTGAGCTATCAAAAGGTTATATGAAAATTTCTAACTTAAAAATGATATAAAATAGGTAATTAATCACTTATCATTTATGAAAGAAATGAAATATATACCATGAACAAGCTGCTGTAAAGTAGCAATTTCTTCCTGTGCTTTAGATTGTTGTTCTTTTAAATCCGTTTCCATTTGATAACCTGTTGCAACTAATTGGCTTTTAGCCTCGTCCAATTCTTGTGTTAATTTTTGTAATTCAGATAATAATGTAGTATTTTCTTTTTTTAATTGCACTACTTCACCTGAAATATTAAAAGTTGAATAAAATAGCTAACCTATACTTATATATTGTTTTCTCATAGTATTTTAACAAAAGCAAATATAATGATCTACAAGAAATTAATTATTCATTTAAAATGGAAATGATGTTTCTATAATCCTAATGTTTATTAGTAGCTTATATTTTAGATGATATTAGAATTCAAACACCTATTTATAACTTATAAAAATTTAAGCTGTAAAAATATTCATATTATATTATGAACTGTGAATCGAGTTTATCAAAAATAAAATATCAGATTTTGCTCAAAATCAGAATATCAATACTGCAAAAATCAAATTGACTTTTTAACAATTATTATAATATTTTATGAAGAATTAGATTTATTACAATTATTTAAACATTAGATCATATTCCATTGTACTTGTATTTTCAATTCATATATTTGTAATTAGGTATGGCAACCTCAGAGCCATTGAAATCAACCATAACATTTGCAACTAAATTAAAATTGATTAAAATCAAAATATACTAAATTATTAGTTTAAAACCCCCTGTTTTGTTTACCTTCCTTCTGTAGAAATAAATCTTTCATTTTTGCTCTTTGCCCATCGAATGAATTTCTCTCTTGTATTTTTTCAGTTTCTAGTAATGTGATTCTTGCAGCAAGTGATGTAATTTTCGTTTGTAAATCTAAATATAAACAATAGACGTTTAATCATCAAATTATGAATTGAAAGCATGTAATTTGATAGTTATCGCACCATTGTTCATTGATTCAATGCCTGTTTCCATTTTGATTTATTTAATATAAACTATTTTCTATATTGATATAATTTTATTTACACATAAATTAAATATTAAAGCTTATACTGTAATCTTTCCGGCGATAAGAATTACAATTCTAAGAATTATGAATTAGAACTAACTTGTCTAACTTTCATCTTTTAAGCTTAAGTCAAACAACTGTCAAAATGACAGCACTCTGATCCATGCTCAATTATCAAACGCATTGCCAACATGCAGAAGAAAAAAAATGGTTTTGTTGTTCTATGCCTAACTTCAGTCCTTCGCGTAGTTTCTACTCTTGACATAGATTTTCTATGTCGCTGTGAGGGGAAATAAATAGTTTCTTTTCCGGTAGGACGTTTTAGATGTGAGTACATATTTTTTCCTCAATAAACTGAATTCTAAAACATCTATAATCTAAAATAAATAATATCGACGTGAGTGACGAAATGTGTTCAAAATTGTGATAATATTTATATTGTCCTTATTCTTTTTGATAACCTATTTTGTTTATTATCTGTGCAAATTATTATTTTGGCAACTGGTAGTTATATATTTCATATACCATCTTATAGGGTTCTGTAGCCTTTTCTAAATTCTCGTGTAGTTACATTTAAATATTATATAAATAAAAACTCTTTAGGTAAGAGTGTTCGATAACAATTTCATTTTGGCATGTCATATTTTTAGGTTATAGATGTTAACTTTTTAGTTCTTCGGGATCAATTTAAACTAAAGTTTTCGTGCTTCGTTTTTAGATCAAAATGGGGAAGATTATGAAATCTGGTAAAGTGGTGCTCGTATTGAGCGGGCGCTATGCTGGTCGCAAAGCTATCGTCATCCAAAACTTTGATGATGGTACCTCAGAAAAACAATACGGCCACGCTCTTGTAGCTGGTATTGATAGGTACCCAAGGAAAGTACACAAGAGAATGGGCAAGGCTAAGCTCCACAAGCGATCAAAGATAAAGCCTTTCATTAAGGTTAGTAATAATGTATATTTTATTTAACTTGAAGTAAAGTATAACAACCCGTTTGTTTAAGCTTTACGCTGTGCTGAATTTCTTTGTACATAGTTTACAATAAGGTTATTAATTTATATATATACCTGTTTTATGCGATATTACTATATTTCATAAATTGTTTATGCTGTTAATTAATTAGGAGTACTTACATGATAAAATTATTTAATGAGATCATTGTTTTCCCAAGAAAAGCACTAAATCCAAAGTATAGCAACTCATAGACAGAATATAATCAAATTTGTTTGTATGTTATTATACTCTTTCAAGCATACATATAGATCATTTTATCAAGTTTGCGGATAAAATTTAATTTGAGGATATTTTGTATATTTGCATTTTGCATGATGATTTACAAAGTTTTATAGTGCTTAAAAGAATTGCTGGGCAATTGTCGTCAGTTATTTTGTGAATTGTTTTATACTTTTGTAATTGTGAAGCGGCTTGGAAGATTTCTTTGCATTACATAATTTATTTACATAAATTGCGGGTATGGATATTGAAATTATAAATTCTGCTTCATGGTTTGAATGGGACTTCTTTTTAACTAATTATTTCTAAACATCTAAATGGTTCAATAATTTTGGATTCACACAATGTATGTGTATAAAAGAAACTTTGATAACCTCAATTTGTGACACTATAAAATTTGCAAGCTTTGGATAAACTTGATTCTTTAAAGTGGACTAGGAGTAATTTTATGGATTTGTGTTCTTGTCAGAAAAGCCTGCTGATTTTTATCATTAAATCAAATGGAAACTGTTACATTGTCATTTACTGGCATGACTCGGATTAAGTTCCAATTGAGCACTGTTGAAATGATCAATTTTCTGCAGGTTTTGAACTACAACCACTTGATGCCAACTAGGTACACTGTTGACCTATCATTAGAGCACAAACCAACCGTCAAGGATTTGAAGGACCCCATGAAGAGGAAGAAGGCTCGTTTCCAAACCCGTGTTAAATTCGAGGAACGTTACAAGAGTGGAAAAAACAAATGGTTTTTCCAAAAGTTGAGGTTCTAGATTTAATTTACAAAAGTTCATAATAAAATATTATAAACTTACATGTGGCTGTATTAATCAAATTTTCCTCTGTATCCATTTTTTAATTCCAAAACTTGCAGGAAATTTGAATGTTGTGGTTTAATACTCAAATTTTAATTGAGTGGTTATCTTTAAATGAAACAATTTGTCAGCTCATGTTTTTAAATACATTAATGGACATAATAATGTACATGCTAATTAAAATTGGTTTCCAAACTTACTTCTTACTGAAGTAAAATTAAATCAACTTATAGAATTACAGTAATTTAATAAACTATTACAAAATGCACTTCATATATGATACTAAAGCACATAGCTTACTATTGTCCATGGAAATAAAAATGATTCTTTAAAGCTTAACGACTGACTATCTTCAATCATTTTTTCAAAGTTTGGATAAAACACTTCAGTAATCTTATATTTGATTCAAGAAAAATCACTTAAAATTAGAAGTGGAAATACAGCTTGAATACAGGTGAATTTATTTTGCAACTGAAATTTAAGTTTGAAATTGTTTATTAATTTTTATTTCCCAACTTATGTGCTCTGCTTCTGAATGTGAACCTCTAGAAAGGGAGTCAAATGAATTGGATTTAGCACACTGTCATATTTATGCTGATTTTTAATTAATTTGATTATTTTTCTTTGCAACAACCTACTTTTTTGTGTTCCACTGAGAGCTATCAGATCATGGAAATTAATACATTCAAGATCGAAGTAAGTCAAGAAGTACAGAAAAAAAAAGTTAAGAAAAAGTAGCCATATGATTTGTTGCTGTAAAAGAGCTTTTAAAATCAATGATGAATCTTTATTGTAGAAACCTTCTCTAAGCCATGAATCAATATTTTATATCGGAGTGAAATATTTTGGTAGATTTATCACATAATAATGAAAAACAAGAGTTTTTGTATACATGAAATACAAACCTGAATGCATATTGAATAACTATTTTTCAAATTTGAATTTGTTGCCAATCTTCATTTTTAAAGAAGTGAAATGTTTAGTATTGCCCTCTGGAATAACTTTGAATATCTTTTCTACTTTAATTTGAAGTAGTACTGAAAAAATTAGTATTATGCTAGATCTTGTGAAGCTAACAGTGTATAAAATTTTTGTGTTTTTGTGCTTTTTAGTGTCATCAATCCTCAACATAATGTCACTTGTAAGTAACTCCACTCATACATTAGAGGTAATAAACAAAACCACTTAACAAATTTAATTTATAAATATATTAAAGCGAATTAGATATAATGAAGCACCAATAATGCATACAACAAAGTTTTATAAATAAGTGAAGCAAAATAATATTGCCTTAGTAATAAATAGTAATAGTATTAAAAAGAGGCAGATTATTATAAAATTATTTTTTTGAAATCTTGTTCAATCGTTCATCCAACTTAGCAATTTCTGTATTTATATTTTGTAAGGACGAAGCAAAAACTTCTTGAACTCCTTGTAGAAGTGCTTTGTTGTTTTGCACACCTGTTGTAATAGTTTTTTGTAGTGTTTCTAGTTCTGCTAGGGACTTCGTAAAGTTACTTGCTGAAAGGAAATTTTACATTAGCAAATCAGTTGTTTAATCAAATTTTATTTGTTTGCATTTGTAATTATTTTACCTTCTTTGTGCAATTCAGTCAGAGCTTGCATTCTTTCTAAAAGATCTGGAACTAACTGATAAATGTCTTCAGATTTTTTTATATGATCATACAACTCAATTATCTGAAAGTAATATTTAGATAAATAAAATTTATACTAGATAAAGAACCACAAGAGAAGTGCTCCCAGAAAATGTTGGAATTTTAATTCTCTGCATTAATATTGTTAGTTTTTTTTTATTTTATTCCTTCTGGAAACACTATTATGGTTGATTAGTCATTAGTTTATTTTTTTGGATACTTTCTTAGTTAGGTGGAAAATGTATTTCAATTTTTTTATCTAGTTTTATCTTTTTATCATTAATTTATCTTGTTTCATTATAATTTTTATTACCTTCTGGTCCTTCTCTGCAGCTTGAGCCCCTCCTTGTTGAGTTATTATAGAATCCATTTTTGAACCAATAAAACCTAATCTCATATCTATTTGGTCTAATTGGGGAGATTGCAACATTGAAACTCGTGAACTCAGAACTTGAGCAGCCTCCATTAAAGTATTTCGTCCGGTTGCCAGCATCAAACGAGATAAACGCTCAGGTGTTACGCCCACTTTACTTTCTAGTTCATGTAATCTAATGGATAAAAATAAATGTTTGAAATATGTTTAACAGGGAGTGCTGTATGAATTATGAATAATATGTTACCTTTGCATTAAGTCTGCAATTTTAGTTGAAATCATCAAAGAACTTTCCTTTTTTGACTTGCTACTTGTCTCAGGAGTTTTGTTTGCTTCATTTAGTTGAAGTTGTTTAATCTGTTCATTGAGTTTGCTAAAAAGAATAAGTTAAAATGTATTCTTTGGATAAAAGTCTTACTTATGTAAATATGTCTTGTATTTATATTACTTTAAATTAGTAATCTGCTTTGGATTTGTGTCTTCTTGGAGCTGCAAACTTTCAATTAATTTTTGAGAAGCTGCAACATGAGCAACCATGTCTTCATAAGTTCCCTTAGAAAGCAAGAAAACAATATTTTATAATGAAATAAAACTACAGAAATATTTTGGCACAAGAAATAATTAGTATGTGAGAATTAAAAGCACACAATTGTCTATAGAAACATATTCTTTATCCAATTTGATATTCACCTTATTAACATCTTTTTCATTTTGCTGCAAAACAGTTAACTCTTCAAAAAGTTCACGTGTTTCACACTGCAGCCTATGAAATTTTTGAAAAGGAGTCTCCTTCTCTCCCTCTGCGGCAAGTTCCCATTCCCCTGATCTTGCATCATAACCGGTTCTGATTCGCTTACTGAGCCGGTCAGAAAAATCTACATTACCAGTGAGATATTTTCCTCTAAACTTTGAAAAGGCATCTTTTGCTGAAATGTGAAGCCTTTCAATGCATTCATTTTCTGGGTCTTCATCATATAAGTTTTCTGATTGGTCTACCTCTGGTAAATCACTTGTTTCGTAAACATCAGGTTGATCGTAAGCCTGGGGGGAGAGGACATTGAAATTATATCACCTATAAATCATAATTTCAGAAAATCTAATAATATCTAAGGCATTTCAGATAGAGACTTTTATTAATTTTGATTATTATTTGAAAATCTTTTCTAAAGAATTATTTGCTATATATATATATATATATATATATATATATATATATATATATATAAATGAATATGAAAACTTTAGGAGTGAGCAATTAGTCACCTTAGGGGCATTATTTTTATAACTGTACGCATTTGTAACTAAACAAAATTGATAATATTAGTTATGAACAATGCTAGGATATTCTATCCTAGAAAATGTGGACATAGTAATTGTTAAAAACCAAAATCTTGTTAATTAATTATGTTAATTATGTGTCAAAATAGGTTACGCCCAGAAATATCTCTTATAAAATGCCAATACACTTACGATTCCTGGTAAATCGGCATATTTCGGATTAACCATTGCAAACCAATGACTATAAAATTATTTTCAAATTTATTTATAAAACTGCTGAAAACAGGAATAAATTTGACGTTTCACAAAGTCTTATTAGAAATTTGGAAATGGTAGTACCGCAGAAAAGACAGGAGAAATAATCTACTCTGGTACTACTAATAATTTAAAAGCGCGCTTTTCAAATACTCTTTGTTTGTTTCGATTTTTTTTATTGCAATTGATATAAAATTTACAATTGTATACACGTTTTACACGATTGCTATTATTTAGTTGAAAAGGACAAAAGCAATTAACTAAACTTTCATAAAGTTTAACAAAAATTTTACTGTGAATAAGGTTAATATTATAATTCTGTGGCAGTAATATAAAAAACACAAACAATAAATTTAAGAACTAAAAATAAGAAAAACATGAATCTAATGAAACTTTGATATAGTATGATAATGATAATATTTTGTGTAAATACGTATATTATTAGTAAATTGAAAATTACTATTTGTTTGAATTAAATTACAATACCAAAATATATCTTCTGTTATGGAACCCATTGAAATTTGGTACCCATTAAAACTTTATAAATTTGTTGTTGTCTATAGTTTGACCCGTGCTATGTGGGAATCTTAGTGCTTAATTTTGAATTGTTTGTATTTTAGCTATATAATCAAATTTAAATACCTTATTATTAAAATGTTGTTTGTGAATATCACACATAGTGCTTTCATACTCTCTGCTTTCAATTTATTGTATTTTTTCTTTTCGTTCAAAAAATCAGTTGGATACTATAAGAAGTATCAATATCAGTGAAACAATTTCATTTTATTTTCAATAATTATATGGTTATTTCAAAAACCGCCGAATATCAGGATCAAATTATCTTCCAATTTTTTGTAGCAGAATTCTCAGAATATAATTACACTAATAATAAAAAAATAGAGTAGTATAATTATGTTCTGTTTGTTTTGTAAGTTTTACCTAGTATTCAAATTTTATAATTTTTTGTATTATATTAACCTTCAATGATAGCGTGTAGTTCACACTTTTACTCCAATGCAGGACCAACCCTGGTTGGTCTTTGTTTTTCTTTTCCTCGCTTTGCAGTCGGTTCTTCTTTTAATATACGCCACCTTTAAATTTTATAATGTAATACTACTTTTATAAAATACTGTATTTGTTTAATATCATTGAAAGGATTTTTGAACATCTGTCTCTACTGACTATAAATAGCAATTGATAACTAATGGGGCGCATGGCATTGTGCCTTAAGGCAAATTGCAGGAACTTCCCGTACCAAAAATTATTTTTTTTAAAAAGATTAACATTTTTGAAAAAAAAAAATTCTTTGAAAAAATTAGATTTTTGAGAAACTATAAATTTTTGACAAAAATTACTTTTTTTTGAAAAAAAAGGACTTTGAAGAAAAATTTATTTTGAAATTTTTATGGAATAATGGAACTTATTTTGG